TGTCCGGCCACCCACGAGTAGCCATCACGGGATTTGCCTTTGAGTAAAGGTGTTCCCACTTCCTCCAACCAGAAATGGGGAGGTGGCGGAAACGCACGTATCACTAAGTTCAATAAAAACCTTTTATTAAATTTCTATAGAAATTTCGTGTTCAGAGTTTGGCGTGCGTTGGAGTGAAGGCTGAGCCAGTTATAAGAGTGAGATCACGAATCAGTTGCGATGCTGCTGTGCGGTCGAGCCTGAGTTTATCGTCTTCCTGAAAATAGCAAGGATTATGCGGAGCACTAGAGGGAAGAGAAGGTAATGACATCCTGCACTCACTGTAGACAAAAGTACCCGTTGGCGTTTAAGGGTGGAACACGTGTTCTTGATAGGTTCTGATGAAAGGTACGACAGTCGGACGGGATTCCGCGATGAACATTTGTGGTAGAGGTTGGCAATAAACTGAAGGAAGGAAGCAAGTGGTATCAGTCCGGCGGAATTCCGTGCACACAAAATCGAACAAAAACTAACCGTTTGGCAAAGCGGAACCACTTCTTTCATGGAAAACAATTGCTGATCGGCCGAGAAAAGCGCTTCAAGGACTATTTGAAAGTTAGCTATGAATGACTGAAATCAGAATAATTAAGGGGTATTTTCACTGCCAACGACATTGAGGAATTCGCACCACTATGAGATTCCGAAGTGTACAGAATTGTTCCGGTTTAACAACAGCGATGGAACCGTTGGAAATTTCTATGATTTTCGCCTTTTCTAGGCGTTTCAAAGCATTTTGAAATGAGGTTGACTCCTCACCAGGCACATGAATGAATTCTCGCTCCATAAGGTTCTGAATATTCCTGAAATAGCAACCTCGAGAAGATCATCTGTTGCCCGCTATGGATTGGGAGGAAAACCAAGGCAGTCAAGACCCAAGAGGTAGGCTGAGAAAAACCAATGAAACTATGACCTCAACTTACCGATACTGCAGTTCCAATCTATCAATATCAAACATTTTCAACCCCAGAACTATTGCTGCCACGAATCCGACATCGCGAATTGAATGCATCATCTGGAACAGAAAGTTCTCCCATAAAAATGCTCGTTTGTCTGTGGAAATTAGTTTGGATAGCACAAAGTTGAACGAAATGAGCGTCACTCTTTGAAAGGCAAGCTATGCCACAAAACTGTACTTTGCCGCGGCGGTCTCTTAATTCAGGTTAACTTGTCGACTGAAGCACCGGATATCACGTGGGCTACGAAACCCTAGACATTCATGGCTATTTCTGGTTTTACATTGATTGTTGTCGCCATCTAAGACCCAGAGCCATAGTCATAGCGCGACGTCGCACGCAACACCTACAGTCGTCATCCGGGCGTTGATTAGGCGGTGAAGGATCGCAGATGCGGCTGCGGCGACCAGCTGTTTCCACCCTATTTAGCCATCTTCTGCCTAATTTTCACTGTATTATTTTTTCAAGGTAAGTTGTTTTTGTCTTTATGAAGTATATTAGGACGTGGATTCTTTTTTTTGTTTTTGTAATGAAATGTTTTTGCGATTTTTCAGGTATTTATTTAATTGTTTGTTAACTAACTGTTTGATTGTTCGCAAAAAATTAGAGAAATCTCAATCATAATTTACCTTGTGAAGACAAGGAACAACTAACCTTAAGAAAAGCAGCCAAAAACAGTGAAAAGTAAGGAGAAAATGACTAGAACCAGGCCGGAAACAGCTGATCTACCGCCAACAGTTCCTACGTAGGTCGCTACTGCAGCCGCGTCTGCAATCCTTCGACGACCGCCTAATCAACTGCCCAGATGACGACTGCATTAGGACGACAAAATACGATTCTCTTGTTGCGTACCCTACTCAACGTGCAGCACTTAACAGCGAAATACGCACACAGTGGTAGAGATTTTCCAGATGTGGTCACAGAAAAGCAGCGCGTCAGGCTGCTGTCAGGCGTATGCTGGTCGTGCAGCAACGCGGGCAGAGTACTCAGACGGCACCTAGGTATCACTACCCTCCAGCGTCGTTCCTGTGCATTTTTGACTGGAGAAAGTAGGACGCTGCTGCAGCGCAGATCCACCCCAGACACGACAAAGACCG